ATCCCAGTGGCTTTTAAACCCCAAAATACATTACGGCAAAGACTGGTTCATCCCAAAGATCCAGTCCCCCGGCACAAACAGAGTAATGTTGTGTATGTTGTTAAGCGTCAAGAGGGCTGTGATCAGTCTTACATCGGGGAAACTAAACAGCCACTGGCCAAAAGGATGGCCCAGCACAGAAGATCAACATCATCAGGCCAGGATTCTGCGGTCTACACTCATCTCCAGGCCAGTGGTCACTCTTTCAAGGATGAAGATGTTCACATCCTGGACAGAGAGGAACGATGGTTTGAGAGAGGAGTAAAGGAGGCCATCTTTGTGAAAAGAAATCGTCCATCATTAAACAGGGGTGGAGGCCTCCGGGTTCAACTGTCCCCCTCTTACAATGCTGTGATTGCTAGTATCACTCAGCCCTCTGTGAGTAGTAAACAGCCATCAGTGTGCTAATGACCCATTGTTAGGCTGATGGTCCTTCTTGAGCATGTGATCAGCTGGTTTTGGTTGTCAGCAGCAAACTGGTTGATCCTCTCTAAGAAGGTGCTATTCAAGAGACTGAGCTGAAAACAGCACCTCAGACTGAGGAAGTCTCTTGGATGAGAGACGAAACATTTCTAAATTTTTTTATTTTTTTTTTGCTTTGTTTTGCTTTTGTTTTTTTGAATGTCCAGAGGACCAGATTGAACTTTTTTGGAGGCTTAGTTATAGTTTTACAAGCTGTTCCCCAAACATCAACACATTAAATTAAATGCGGGACTATAAAAGTATTATACAGCAAACACAAAGCATTATCATTCAAAAGATACTTTATACAGTACTGCCATGGACTTAGATATTTTAGTTTTTACAAAATTTATGTGTTGTTTCCATGACAGTTTATCATCAATAATTACACCCAAAAACCTTACCTCATTCACTCTACATATCTCAACACCATCAATTTTGAAAGGAAAATCCACAGTTATCTTTTTTTTACTAAATATCATAAATTTAGTTTTAGCAACATTCAATGATAATTTGTTTAATTTAAACCAAGTTTGTATTTTAACAAACTCCATCTTCATCAACTCAAACATCTGTTCCAAGTTTTTACCCAAACAAAAGAATGTGGTATCATCAGCAAATAAAACACATTTGAGGATACCAGACACCTCAATTAAATCATTTACGTATAAAATAAACAACTTAGGTCCAAGTACTGAACCTTGAGTTACTCCACATGAGATACTGCATAGATTAGAGCTTACATCATCAATCTGTACAAACTGTTTTCTGTCCCTCCGATAACTAGATATCCACTGTAGAGCTGGACCTCTAATACCATATTGTTTCAATTTTTCAAGTAGAATGGTGTGGTCAATTGTGTCAAATCTTTTTTAAAATCAACAAATATGCTTATACAGTGTTGTTTTTGATCTATCGCTGTAGTAACTTGTTCTATCAACTCAATAAGAGCCAAGAATGTTGATTTTTTGAATCTAAAACCATACTGACTATTACTTAAAATATTATGTTTATCAAGAAATGTATCTAATCTGGTCACAAATAATTTTTCAAGAATTTTTGAAAATTGGGGCAACAAAGATATAGGTCTATAGTTGCTAAATATACATTTTTCACCATTTTTAAAAAGAGGAACTACCTTAGCTATTTTCATTCTGTCAGGGAATATTCCTTTTGAAAATGATAAATTACAGATATATGTGAATGGCTCAATAACATGACCCATTATTTCTTTCACAACCATCATATCCATGTCTTCACAATCTTTAGATCTTTTGTCAGTAAATTTTTGAACTACCTTCATTATTTCTTCTTTGTCAGTTCCATCTAGAAACATACTGTTTACACAACCATTGATTAAATAACTCACGTTTTTATCCACTTTAGGAATTGAAGCTGCAAGATTAGACCCAACATTTACAAAATAATTATTAAATCCATTAACGATTTCATTTTCATCATGAATTTCCACATTATTTTCCACAAAATGTTGTGAAAGTCCCATATTATCCTTGTGTTTTTTTTATAACATTGTTCATTACTCGCCATGTTGCCCTCATGTCACCACTACATTTGTGTAATAATTCACTATAATATTCTCTCTTATGTTTCCTTATAATCCCTACTAATTTGTTTTTATACTTTTTATATTTATCTTCAGCCTCTTGAGTTCTGGATTTCAGGAAACAAGAATACAGATGATTCTTTTTTTTACATGCGTTTCTCAATCCTTTAGTCATCCATGGATGATCAACTCTATTTTTCTTTATAAAATTTTTTTGCACACAATTTTTTTTATACAATACTTCAAGAATCTTCATAAACTTATCATAAGATTTGTTCACATCGTCTGTATACACTTCTTCCCAATTTTGTTTAGCTAAGTCATCTTTAAATTTATCTAATGCTTTTTTGGATGTTTATTATTTTATTCTTTCTTATAAGTATTTTTGATATACTGACATCGTTTTTATAAATAGTGAACACAGGTAAATGATCACTAATATCAGTCATCAAAATACCACTCACCATATCACCATCTGTTATATTTGTGAAGATATTATCAATTATTGTTGCACTTTGAGTTGTGATTCTTGTTGGATTTGATATTAACTGATAAAAATTTGAACTATACATTGAATTTATGAATGTACTGATGTTATTTGAATCAGTTTTATTTCCTAAATCAATATTGAAGTCTCCACATAAAAAAACTTTTTTATTTCTTCTCTTTACTAGTAACTCCAATATTTTATCGGTAAACATTTCTATCTTTGAGCATGGTGATCGATATACACAACTTATAATGTTTTTTCCATTTTTATTAATTATTTCTATTGTTATCATTTCCATCATATTATCAACAATTGTAGACATTTCACTGATTACTTCACATTTTATTTCCTTATCTATGAATAGAGCTACTCCTCCACCTTTTTTATTTTTTCTGTTCATATGATGTAATTCATACCCTTCAACATATGCACTATCCATATTCTCATCATTAAGCCAAGTTTCAGATAATGCTATTATTTTAAAAGTTTTATTTAATCTTTTGAAATAATCTAATATGTAGGAGATATTTGCATTTATACTTCTACAATTCAGGTGAACAATGGAAAGACCTTCATCTGCCATGTTTACATCGTTAAACTGTTCTTCATTATAATATTTACTGTCTTTATTAACTGGAAAAAAATTTCTATCTATCACCTCTTCAACATTATATATTTTGAATTCTGATTTATCGTATGTCATCATAATTCAGTGTATTTGTTCATCAGGTTATTCACTTTATCTACTTTAATGTGGAGAAACTTTGAAGACCTATAATTAGTCATCTTCTAGACTCATCTAAATTTTTCCAAATCCTTCAGTTCTTTTATTAGTTTTGCTTGCGATCCTTGTGCTTTAATCCAGATTTTTCCATTTCTTGTCCATGTCGCAACTATTTTTTTTGTTTTTTTAACAACCTAGGTTCACGGGCAATATTTCCATTTCTTTTTGTTAAATGTTCGTTTATGTAAACTTTTGTTCCCTTTAGTTTTTTTGCTTGCATGATTACACTATTTCTTGATTTCCTGCTAATGAATTTTACAACAACAACCGGTTTAGATTTTTCAGATTTGCTGGATAAGGTGCGACACAAAGAAATATCTTCATGATTTATATCAATCTCCCTGTCTTGTAAAAAGGAGAACACCTGTTCTTCTAAAGTCATCTGTTCCATTGGAGTTGCATCTTCAGTAATTCCTTCACCAGCAGCGACTTTTGCATATGAACGATTTTTAATCTCCAGTCCAGTTATAATGAGGTTATCTTGTCTAGAGTTCTGTTCCAAGTCGTCAATCCTTTGTTCGAGTTCCACTATTTTTTTTATCTTTGAGATTTATTTGTAATTTCAATTGTTTGACTTCTTCAAACAAACCCATCAAGAGTTCCTGTTGTGATGTTAAGTTTCACAAGTTCTGAACTCATAAAGTTCAGAGATTTCCGTATTTCTTCCATATCGTCAGAGTTTTGTTCAGTCAAATCATGTTTTCTTAGTTTGGATTTTGCCATTACTCACAAAACCACCTGCCCGATGGCCGTGGTTTATCAAGTCGTTAGCCAAGAGCCAATGTCAGATCACGGATCCAACCAGCGCCTCGATTTCCACCGCAGCCCAGCAGCCTCCGGACGTCCGACTCCAGGAAATCAGACACCACAGCCCCAGACTCTCCCAGGATCCACGGCGGTAACTCGGCTCCGAACAGGAACGCGGATCCAACGGCGACAGTCTCCCACACCGCCGCACTTCCTCACAACAGCAGCAGCCCCAGACTCGACAGCCGAAAGCCGACACACAGCACCCAGGTCCACCAGGCCCTCGAAGGCAGGCCGTCAACCAGCAGCCACCGCCCACAGACCCGACGCCAGAAGATCAGCCTCACGGCTTCAACAGTCCTTCAGCTGAATCCAGCAGCGAGACGACAAGCAGGAGAACCATTATCACCATTACTTTTAACATATGATAGTGGAGACTGTGTCAGTACATGTACTAATGTAACCCAGAACTGAGGATGTGTATTGGTCCAGATCAAGCGATCCTCCATTTTCAGCAGCTTCTCTGAAAACCTGCCAGTCTATTTGATCAAAACAGTCTCTCAGTATGGGGCCACTGTCCTGGATCCAACATTTAACTTTCTTTTGTACCGGTCTGGAGCGTCTCAGCGGGGGCATGTATGCAGGAGCCAGGAATGGTAAATGGTAAATGGACTGTACTTGTATAGCGCCTTTCTATCTTATTGAGATACTCAAAGTGCTTTACACTACCATCTGTGCCTCATTTACCCATTCATACAGCACTCTACTAGATCTCTACAAAGCTAATTGAACAAATCTTTCTAAAGAGACTACTCAGTGCTTTAGATCACATTCATACACCGATGGCACACACATCCGAGGCAACAAGGGGTTCAGTGTCTTGCCCAGGGACACTTCGGCATGTGACTGCTGTGGGGTTCGAACCCCCAACTCTTGCATTGGAGGACAACTGCTCTAACCACTCAGCCACAGCTGCCCCAGGAAGATTGAGATGTGGTCTGACAGTCCTAGTTGGGGACGGGGTTCAGCTTTGTATGCATCTTTTACATTCATGTAAACACGGTCCAGCGTGTTGTCTCCACGTGTTGGAATTGCCACGTTGATAAAAGCTTGGGAGACAGTCCTTTAGATTCACGTGATTAAAGTCTCTGGCTACCACGTAAAGTGTCTCAGGGTGTTTGTTCTGCAGTGAGCTGATTATATCATGTAGCTCCAGTAGTGTTTCATTAGCATTAGCGTCCGGAATGTAAATAACCGTGATGAAAGTCACTGTGAACTCACCGGGTAGATAAAGAGGCCGACATTTTACTGTTATTTGCTCCAAAGCTTTCTAGCATGAGCTGTTTACAACAGTACAGTTCGTGCACCAACTTTTACTCACGTAAATGCATACTCCGCCTCCCCGTGATTTCTCCGTTAGCTCGCTGCAGCGGTCTGCTCGAAAAAAAGTCTGTCATCCAGCTGGAAGATTGTATCCGGCGTTTCACTTGTAATCTACGTTTCTGTGAGGCAAAGCACCGCACACTTCTTCATCTCTTCGAGACGAAGTAAATCCATCTTGTTGTCCAACGAGCGGACGTTCGACAGAAAGAGAGACGGCATGGGGAGTTTTCCGGCTTTAGCTTTAGCTCGTAGCTCACCATAACCTCTGCCCGGCATCCTCTCCTCTTAAGCCGGGAGCAGCGCTTCCTCTTCTGCTTTCTGGAACGCCTCTGCTGCAGCTTCCAGGTAGATGACTTTAAGATCTGCATTCTTCCGAGCATAGTTTTGATTTTGTTGCTGATTTCTGCTCTATTCTGTGGCAAATCCGCTCCTATTCTCATCAGTTCGGTTTGGCTATAGTTCACACGCATAAATCGTGCGGAGTCAGGCACAGAGTCAATATCAAAACTTCTAAAAGCTGGGATAGTATCGGGAGCCTGTGAAGCTGCAACTGCTCTGAACACAGCCATCTTGCCAAATCGAGAGGAGGCAGTTGAGGTGACTCTGGCATCTGGTTAGGATGCCTCCTGGATGCCTCCCTGGTGAGGTGTTCCGGGCACATCCCATTGGGAGGAGACCCAGAGGAAGACCCAGGACATGCTGGAGGGACTATATTTCTCGGCTGGCCTGGGAACACCTTGGGATTCCCCCAGAGGAGCTGGCCCAAGTGACTGGGGAGAGGGAAGTCTGGGCCTCCCTACTTAGGCTACTACCCCCGCGACCCGACCCCGGATAAGCGGAAGATAATGGATGGATGGGTGGATGGATTTTAGTTCTTACTTTTAGAGCCCTGAGTGATCAAGCCCCGGTCTACATATCTGACCTTTTAGAACCCTACTCCTCTTCTCGGAGCCTCAGATCTTCCAGTCAAAGGCTGTTTATGGTCCCACGGACTCATTTTAATACCAGAGGGGATAAAGCTTTTAGGGCTGTGGCCCCCAGACTGTGGAATGCATTGCCTCTGACTTTGTGCTGCCTTGATTCTCTTAAAACTTTTAAAAAGCAGCTGAATACACATTTGTTTAGATTGGCTTTTAATTAGATTTATATTTTCTTATGTCATACACATGTTGTTTAACCTTTTATCTTTTCTGTAGAGCACTTTGTGGTATCTGACCTGTAAAAGGTGCTATATAAATAAAATTGACTTACTTACTTACTTACGTACTTACTTACGTACGTACGTACTTACCTACCTACCTACCTACCTACCTACCTACCTACCTACCTACCTACTACTTACCTACTTACCTACTTACCTACTTACTTACTTACTTACTTACTTACTTACTTACTTACTTACTTACTTAACTTTTGGAGTCAACTCAATTTAAGATGGCCTCCCCAGTTGACTGAACTAGGCAAACACAGAAAAGGCTCTAACCTTGTCAGCTGTCCAGATATTAATTTAAAAATTGGTGTGGTAGTAGTCGAGTCATTGATAACTTCCACATTGTGAAGTGGATGAGTTTAAATATCTGGGTGTCATTCTAGATTCCCATCTTAACTTTGAGGCTCACATTAGAAAAGTGTTTAAAACCATGAAGACAAACCTAAATTGTTTTTGTTTTATAAGATCATGTTTATTTGGAAAATCTGCTCAGTTGTACCTACATGCCATGATTCTGTCTCATTTCTCATACTGTGTCACTGTCTGGAGCCAAGCAACTCAATCTGCTTTAAAACCTATGACGATGTTGTTTTCACAAGCACTGAAAGTTTTAGACCAAAAACCATTGAAGTGGCACCACTGTAAAATACTGGAGAAATATAATTTCTTAAGCTTTGGTGACGATTAAAAAAAAAAATTCTTGTTTAAAATTGACTTTTAAATGCATTAATGGTCTTGTCCCAGAGCTGGTGAGCAGAATGATTTTAAAAGTCAGCAGCACAGGAGTTGCAACAAGTGGTGCAGTTGATGGAGACTGCAAACCTGCAAAATACAAAACATCATTTGGTCAATGTTCCTTCTCATTTAAAGGCCCTCATATCTGGAACAGTTTACCATCAGCAATAAAAACATTAACATATCTTGGAGTTGGGCAGCACGGTGGCACAACTGGTAGAGCTGCTGCTTCTCAGCGAGCAGGTCCTTGGTTCAAACCCCGGTCCAGGGGCCTTTGTGGGTGGAGTTTGCATGCTCTCTCTGTGCATGCATGGGTTTTCTCCAGGTGCTCCAGTTTCCTCCCACAGACCAAAAACATGCATGTTAGGCTGATTGGTAACTCTAAATTGTCTCTAGGTGTGAGTGAGAGAGTGAAAAGTTGTTTGTCTCATTTGTCTCTATGTGTCCCTGTGATGGACTTGCCACCCGTCCAGGGTGTACCCCGCCCCTCGCACAGTGATTGCTGGACATGGGCACCAGCGACCCCCGTGACCCAAAATGGAATAAGCGGGTAAAGATAATGGATGGATGGATGGATTGATCTTAGAGTTTTTAATTCCCAGGTGAAAAAAATGGTTGAAACAAAACCAAATCTGTGAACACTGAGCCCCATGGGGATTATTTTAGCTGTTTTTATAAAAAAGTCCAACCAAGGACTGGGCTTACAAATTAGCCTGTGGCTAGAAAACCTTCGTACAAAACAATGGTTGCTTCGTTTTTAACATTGTAACATTGTTTAATGTACTGTCCTTGTTCAAATAAACTTGAATGAATGAATTGCAAATCTTGCATAACTGTTTGTTTTGTTTGTTTCAAGATTTGGGATAAATGGTCATAACTCTTGACATTTCTCAACATAAAATGTTCTTTTGTTTTTTAATCTGTCATGAAAGGCGGTGGATGATGTGATGTTGCAGGTAGTTTAGCATGCTAACAGGACCTTAAGAGTTTCAGTTGTTATATTATCATTAAAATTGAGAAATGGGAAATTCAAACTTGACTGCCTTGAGACTCAAGTGTTTTTTTTTTTTAGAAGATGACACAAAATGTACACAAATTTATTCATAGGAAATGTGAACTTTTATCCGTCCATGTCCCGTACCTGCTTTTTACATGTATGGTTGATTCTCTTTCAGTTAAACTTTTCTTTTTTGATGTGATTGTCATCAGAGCTCTCCAACACCCTACTATACCTTCTACTATGATACGGGGTTCTCTGATGAGGAGGAGATAGAGGAGCAGGTCCTGCGTAACACAGTCAACAGTGAAGCTCTCATGACGGCCTTCAACCAAAACATGCCAGGAACGGATGGAAACAAAGTGGGTGGAGTCTAGCTACCTAAGACTGAGTCAAATTGATAAAAAATTAACAAAAATTCCTAAGTAGTATTTCAGAATCGTACATTGACGTTTATCTGTGTATTTGTTGTCAGAACATGGAAACCGTGAAGGAGCAACTGTGGGAGGATCATTTCTCAGAATTCGGCCGTGGCGTCCACATGTTTCGCACAGAGAAAATCCAGAAGCTGGTTGCCATGGGGATCCCAGAGTCACTGCGAGGCGAGCTGTGGATGACATTTTCTGGTAAGAGGAAACTGAGAGAACAAGAAAAGACTTGACCGCTCCCTGATCAAAAGGATCAGCACCCAGAAGGAATAGTTGAATTTGAACATACATAGTTTGGTGCACATGCAGACCAGATTTACAAGGAGCTGGCATGTCTGAAACAATAACCAGAGAGGATAAGTGATGGCATCATGGGGTTGAGAGGAGTGTCATCAGGTAGTTGCTGGAGTGTCCAACAGTTGGTCAAAGAAAGTGGGTGAAGGTCACCAGACTTAAAGAACTCCTCATAGACTCATTGGACAACATTACAGAATTCAATTCAATCCAGTTTATTTCTATAGCGCCAAATCACAACAAAGTTGTCCCAGGGCACTTTACAGGAAAAGTCACATACATAGAAAAGCCAATTAGTAAAGTTCTTTATCTAAGGAAGCCAACAGGCACGTTGAATCTTCACTTTTGTTGCAGTCTCTCATCCTGAGCAAGCACAATGGCAACAGTGGAAAGGAAAAACTCTCTTTTAAAAGGAAGAAACCTCCAGCAGAACCAGGCTCAGGACAAGCGGCCATCTGCTTTGACCATCTGGGTTGACATTCTGGGTTGATCACCAGAACCTGATGGAGTGGTTCTGTAACAGGAGGCATGATCTGAATCTGGTTCTAAACAAACAGAATACCGTATTTTCCGCTGTACACTTTGCACTTCCCATACGTCGCATCAGTTCAAATATGTCTAAACAAGTGGAAAAATCCATAAATTTGTCGCTTCGCTGTATACGTCGCATCTATTATGCGTCACCGCTGGCGCATCGCGTTTGTTACATGTCACCGCTGACAACCCGGAAATGTGGACCGAAACTTGAAATGTAGGCCAGTGTTGTGCCAAAAATTGATGGGCTGCCAAATGGCAGCCGTGGGAGCGTGCATGGGAGGACTTTAACAAGAATTTAACAAGATTAACACTTAAAAACAATTAATTGTTTGCTCGAAATTATAGTAAATGTGTGTCTCAGTCTACCTTTTACTTAATAAATGCACTTTGATGGTCAAATCAGCTGTATTTTAAAACCTGATTCGTGGAAGTGGCAGGCGCACGCAGAGGGATGAGCCTCAGCATTTCTTTGCAATTTAACACGATAAACACCTAAAAACAATAGTTTGCTCAAAATTATAGCAAAGGTGTGTCTCAGTTGAACTATTCCTTAAAAAATGTGCTTTAATGGTCAAATCAGTTGAATTTCAAAAATGGTTTCGCTGCTGAGGTTCTGCAAAGTGTGCACGCGCAGAGGGAAGAGCCGCTGCATTTCTTTAAAATTTAACTAAATTACCACCTAAAGAAATTATTTGTTTGCTCAACATTATAGCAAAGGTGTGTCTCAGTTGAACTATTCCTTAGAAAATGCACTTTCCTGGTCATATCAGCTGAATTTCAAAAATAGTTCTGCTGCCTCGGTGCGCAGGGAGTGTGCAGAGGGAGGAAATCAGGACGGAGGAACGCTGCTCGTTTTTAAGAAATTTAACAAGAAAAGTCAGAGTCAGAGTTTCTTTATTGTCATTCGCACCTCATGTGGTACATGTGGTGGAGCGAAATTATGTACACAGGGTCCCAGTTACATCCAACAATAAAATGT